GAAAGGAGAAAGGAAAAAAAAAAGAAAAGTCAAAGTAATCCTATTGTAACCCTAAAAAAAGAATGTCAAAAGTCGATCTCTGAGCATGAAGCTTGTGAATTCTTAAAGCTAATAAAATATAGTGAGTATAGCGTGGTAGAATAGTTAAACAAGATGCCAGTTAGGATTTCGTTATTGTCATTATTGCTCAGTTCAAAGTTACACTGTAATGCTTTGCTGAATGTGTTAAATCAAGCATATGTGTCTCACAATGTTTCTATTAAATATGTGGAATAACTTGTTGGCAATTTGACAATTTCAAACTATATCTCTTTTAATGATAAAGAGATTCCTCCTGAAAGTCATGAAAGTACCAAGACTTTCCACATTACGGTAAAATATAAAAGTTATATAATTGTTAAGATTTTGATCAATAATGGCTCATTCATTAATTTTATGCCTGTGAATACTTTTTCGAAACTCCTTGTTATATGAAGCCTAGTCATATGATAATGCGAGCTTTTATTGGAACCTGAAGAGAAGTGTTAAAAAACATAGAAATGCCATTGCAGATTGGCCCATGCATTTTTAACGTAAAATTTCAAGTTATGAACATCTTTTCTTCATACAGTTACTTATTGGGTAGGTCGTGGATCTATATGGTATGTACTATTCCATCCTCATTACATCAAAAAGTTAAATTCATTGTCAAAGAAAAGCTAACATTGTGGCAGGAGAAGAAGATTTACTAGTAACTTAATCGATAAATACTCTTTATGTAGAATCAACAGATAAAGCACTAGAATGCTCTTATAGATCTTTCGAGATTACCAATGCAACATATGTGGCTGAAAGATCTAAATTGTATTCATCACAGTTGTCTATGATAATTAAAATGGTTGTTAAATAGCTTATTAAGATGGGATGATAACCTAAAGATGGACTTGAGAAGAATCTGCAAGGAATCACAAAGCCATCAACTATCTATAAAAAAAATATAGATTCAGCTTGGGATATAAGCCAATAAGAGAAGACATAATAAAAATGGTGAATGAGAAAAAAGATAAGAGAATAGTTAATTTTGAGGGATATTAGCTGGAGTCAAAGCTTATGGTCATTCCATACCTCTATGATTCTTTTCGTTCGGGAGGATATATTTACCCAGATTTGCCTGAAGCCCTAAGTGCAGGATTCGTGGAAGAATTTTTAAAGTTGGCCATTCAAATGGTGGATGATGGAGGAAAAAATAGTCGAAGTGAAGAGCTGTTCGTGTACCCTTGTCCTCGAGATTTTGAGCTAGATAATTAAAAAGTTATAGAGCTACCTATTGTCTTTAAAACTTTGAAAAAATAGTGTACTGTGTAACTTTAAATCCCTAATTACTTTTTACGAGCATTAAGAGATCTTTTGTGATGTGTTTATGTTTTTGTTTTAATAAAAGGCTTAGAAGATGCATTTGCATTTCTTTTATTTGTTTCACTTTCACTTATTCGAATCATTTCTTTTTTTTCTTACCATTTCATTTTTATGTGCCAATGTTCTCTTCATTTTACCCTTTGTAGGGTCCCAACTAATGAATGAGGATAATCATGATAATAATCTCATATTCGATTTTAAAAACTTAATTCATGTTAACAAACTTAATAATAAAGAAGATTCAAATAGTTACACATTGCCTCCTGATTTTTTAAAATTAATAGAACATGAAGATAAACTAATAGAGCCTCATAAGAAATTACTAAATTAGTGAATTTGAGAGACGATGAAAATAGAAGAAGAAGTCAAAATTGATACATCCATTTTACCAGTTGAAAGGTAAAAGCTAGAAGAGCTGCTCTAAGAATATATCGATGTGTTCGCATGATCTTATCAAGATATGCCAGGACTCAGCACTGATATTGTAAAACATAAGTTAACTTTAAAAAATGAATGTAAGCTAGTACAGTAAAAACTAAGGTGCATGAAGCCAGAGATGCTGCTAAAAATTAAAAAAAAAGTGAAAAAATAAATTAATGTTAGATTTTTAGAGGTGGTAAAATATCCTGAATGGGTAACCAACATAGTGTCAGCTCCCAAAAAGGATAGAAAGGCTAGAATGTATGTCGATTATTGAGACTTGAATAGAGCAAGTCCTAAAGATAATTTTCCTCTGCCCCATATCAATACCCTAATAGATAATACTGTTAGACATTCCATATTTTTTTTTATGGATGGCTTGTCAAGTTACAATCAAATTAAGATAGCTCTAGATGATATGGAAAAAATAACATTTGTGACCATGTGGGGAATGTTCTGTTACAATGGTTCCACTTATCAAAGAGTAATAGTGACTCTTTTTCATAACATGATGCATAAAAAGATAGAAGTGTATGTTGATGATATGATAGCAAAATCTTATGAAAGAAGAAGATCATGTAGTCAATATCAGAAAGTTATTTGATAGATTGATAAGATTTCAGTTAAAGTTGAATCCTACTAAATGTATATTCGGTGCTAAATCAAAAAAATTATTGAGCTTTATGGTCAGTGAAAGAGAAATCGAAGTTGATTCAGATAAGATACAGGCTATTCAAAATTTATTCCTTCTTCATACCTCGAAAGAGATGTGAGGCTTTATGGGAAGATTGAACTATATTGCTCGTTTCATCTCTCAACTCACTTACAAGTATAATCTCACTTACAAGTGCAATCTCATTTTCAACCTTCTTAAAAAACATGATCCAGGAGAATTGAATGATAAATGCCAAGAAGCTTTTAACAAGATCAAATAATACTTATCGAATTCGTCTGTGTTAGTACCACCCATTTCAGGAAAACCTTTGATTTTATACTTAATAATGCACGAAAATTCAATGAGATGTGTGTTAGGGCAAAGAGATGAAACCAACAAGAAAAAATGGGTAATCTACTACTTAAACAAGAAATTCATTGATTACAAGTCCAAGTATTCATCATTAGAGAAGATATGTTGTGCATTAGCCTGGATAGCTCGAAAGCTTAGACAATACATGCTTTATCACACTACTTGGCTCATAACAAAGTTGGTTCCTATTAAGTATATATTCGAAAAACCTTCATTGATAGAAAAAATAGTACGATGGCAAGTTATGCTTTCAGAACATGATATCGTTTATGTAATTCAAAAGGCTATAAAAAAAGTACAATAGCTGAGTTCCTTGTTGATCGTGCTGCCAAAAATTATGAACCAATGAACCTGGATTTCTCTGATGAAAATGTGATGGCCATTAAAGAAAATGAACCTGTTGAAGAGTCTTGGAGGATGTATTTTGATAAAGCTACTAACGCTTTGGGTCATGGTATTGGGACAATTTTGATATCTCTTAATGGACATTATTACCCCATCACAGTCAAGTTAAATTTTAATTATACAAATAATGTGGTCAAATATCAGGCTTGTGTTATGAGTCTGCAAGCAGCAATTAAAAAAAAATTAAAGTGTTAGATGTGTTTAGAGACTCAGCTTTAGTTATTTATCAGTTACGAGGTGAATGAGAGACAAGAGATTTTAAGTTGATCCAATACCATAAATACATTTTTGAGTGGGTTAAGCAATTTGAAGAAATTCGGTTTGAGCATCTGACCAGAGATGAAAACCAAATTACTGATGCACTGGCTACTCCAGCTATAATGATCAAAATAAATACAAATACTGAGATCCAACCCATCAAATTGGATGTGAAAGATGTACCAACGCATTGCTCAGATGTCGAAGAAGAAGTTAATGGGAGGCCATGGTATCATGATATTATGCAATATATTAAAAGTCAATAATACCCAAAACATGCAACAGAAAATGATAAAAGAACTATCAAAATGTTAGCTATGAGTTTTTTTCTGGATAGAGATGTCTTTTACAAAAAGGATTGAGATCAAGCACTCTTAAGATGTGTGAATACAGCTAAAGCAAAGAGGATTGTTGAAGAAGTGCATGATGAAGTTTGTGGGGCACATGCAAATGGTCATATGATGGTTTAGGTAAATTATGAAGGCCAATTATTATTGGTTGACAATAGAGAGTGACTATATTAATTATGCCAAAAAATGTCATAAATATCAGATTTATGCTGACAAGATCTACGTTTTTCCAATAACATTACATGTTTTGGCTCCTCCGTGGCCATTCTCTATGTAGGACATGGATGTCATCGGTCCTATCACTTCAAAAGCTTCGAATAGACGTAGATTCATCTTTGTGATAATTGATAACTTCACGAACAGGTAAAAGCTGCATCGTATGCTAGTGTAACCTAATTTGTGGTATACAAGTTCATAAAAAAAGAGATAATATACAAATATGGTCTCCTAGAGATAATTATTTCTGATAATGCCAAAAACTTGAATAGCAAAATGATGAATGAATGTACACTCAATTAAAATTCATCATCGTAATTCAGCACCATATCGTCTAAAGATGAATGGGGCAGTAGAGGCTGCAAACAAGAATATCAAAAAATCTTAGAGAAAATTATTGATACTTACAAAAATTGGCATGAAAAGTTACCCTTTGCTTTGCATGCTTATAAACATCGGTCTAAACATCTACTGGAGCCATCCCATTCTCTTTGGTATATAGAATGGAAGCTGTGCAACCAATCAAAGTGAAAATTCTCTCACTAAGAGTCCTGATGGAGGTAAAGTTAGAGGAAGCAGAATGAATTCGAAATGACTATAAGCAATTGAACCTCATTGACGAGAAAAGACTTATAGCACTTTGTCATGGTCAATTATATCAAAAGAGGATGATAAGAGCACATGACAAAAAAATCTATCATCATCGCTTTAGGGAAGGAGACTTAGTGCTAAAAAGGATCTTTCCAAATCAACTTGACAATCGAAAAAAATGGACACCAAATTAGGAGGGCCCGTACGTGGTAAAAAAGACTTTTTTTAGTGGGGCATTGATTTTAACAGAGATAGATGGAGGTGATTTACCTACTCCAATAAATTTAAATACTGTAAAAAAATATTTTGCTTAAAAAAAAGGAAAAATGATGACTTATCTAAGCTAAAAACTTAAAAAGATAGCTTGGATGTAAAGGAGAAGCATCATCAAGAGAAGATTCGATAACACAGAGGTAAATGTAGTTTGACAAACTCTGAAGAATCAAGAAAGTCATCTGATTTAGTTTTAGAAAAAGAATATGGGAATATTTTGTTAATGATTATCTTATGATCATTATTTGAGCACATTTGTTTCAACTTAAACACTTTTCTTTGAAAATAATGTCTATCCATTCTTTTATTCTCATTTGATAGTTTTGTTCACCGTACAAATAGAAGAAATATATGATTACATTTTATTTGTCTTGAACTTAAAATGATGAAAAGAAAAACAAACATGAAAGATCTCAACATTACTTTTTAAAAAATTGATAAAGGCAAATAAAAAAAGATGAGAAAAACAAGACAAGACATTGATGTTACAAACTTTTGAAGAAGAAAAGTATTATTAAGGAATAATACAATGGTTAGATATTAAGAATAGATTGATCTTATGGCAATTGTTGAGAATTATGATAAAAAAATAAAAAAAAGTGAGATTTCGATAGCGTTTTTACTACAATGAATAATTTTGATTGCATTACATGCATTACATTTAGAGCACTTAGTATATGCATCCATGAGCAATTATAATAAGGACAGAGACTTTCTATTTCCTAATGAAAAAAAAAAGATTTTGATATTCAGACAAGGATAATAATCAAACAAAAGATTTCAAGAGAAAGAAATTTACTTGTTTAGAGATGAGAACTCGATTTCGAGAACATATGAGATTTTTAAAGTTGTTAAGCCTCTACTTGAGGTATTTTTTCAAGATGAATTTTTACAGTTGTTGAGCTTCTATTGAGAGGAGCTTTTTCAGGATGAATTTTTAAAGTTGTTGAGCCTCTACTGAGAGGAGCTTTTTCTCAATATGAGTTTTTTAAAATTGTTGAACCTCTACTTAGATGAGTTTTTTTCAAGATGATTCTTTAAAGTTGTTGAGTCTTTACTTAGAAGAGCCCTTTTATATTTTCAAAAGTTATTGAATCTCTGCTTAAAGGAGCCTTTTTAAATTTTTAAAGTCATTAAGCCTCTGCTTAAAGGAGTTTTTTTTCAATATAAATTTTTTAAAGTTGTTGAGCCTTTACTTAGATGAGCCCTTTTAAATTTTTAAAGTCGTTGAACCTCTGCTTAAATGAGCTTTTTCTCAATATGAATTTTTTAAAATTATTGAACCTCTGCTTAGAAGAATTTTTTTCAAGATGATTTTTTAAAGTTGTTGAGCTTCTCCTTAAATGAACCCTTTTAAATTTACAAAAAAAATCAAATTAAAATTTGAGTCTCTAATTAGACTAGCTTTTTCTTCTTTCCAAATAAAATGGTTGTCGTTTGTTTTTGTCTTATTTTCGATTCTCAAAAATAGGCAAAGAAGGACAGCTATAGACATCATTTAATTAATTAATTAATTATTTATTTCTTTTCTTTTCTTTTTTTTTTTATTCTTTTTTTTCGCATTTTGGCAGCTTTTCTGTTGACCACCAACAGTCGCACTGTCAGCGACTCTGATAGCCGCCTGCAGCTGCCAGCCCTTTGACAGCCACTCGCAATCGTTCTAACAGTCGGTGGCTACCCTAATCATAGGCAATCAAAATTTTAGATTTTCTACGATTTTAATCTTCCTTTTGCTTTATAAATAGAGTTGTAAAAACACCTGCAAGAAGAAAAGCCTAGAAACCCTACAAAAAAATTATAAAAAAAAACATAAAAAATAGATAAAAAAACACACTGTCAGATTCCAAAAAATCTTCGTGAAAAAAAAAATCAAACAAAAAAAAATCCCTGGAACGGGATCTCAGCGCCAAAACAAAAAAAAAATAAAAAATAACAAATCCTTTGGTCGAATCTTCCAAGCCAGATCTACGTAGTTCAAAACCCCATTTTGCAAAAATAAGCTCGGATTCGTGTTTAGGGGGTGAAAAAAAAATTCTTGGAGTTTTGGATTTTTTTGGCAATTGACAGACGACGATTGGTGACCATCGACAGCGACTGACACGACGAAACAAACATTGGATTCTAGATTGCTAGAGAGAGAAAGAGAGAGAAAAAAAAAATAAAAAAATAATCGATTTGGCCTTTAAATAGGACTTCAAATGACGCCGTTAAGGAAAGTATTAAAACGACACCGTTTCAACTCTAGAGGATCTGCGTGTCGACCCACAACTCGATCCAAGATCCGCACACCCAATTCGATGACCCGTTCTCCCTTTACCTCTATCGGTCTAGTTGAACTGACCGAGACCAGACTAGTGCCGAACTACTGAACCCGAACCAACCAGATCAGACCGGATCGAACAGCTGAACTGACCCAGACTCGCGTTGACCGGATCATTGACTTGTCCGATTTAGGTAAATTTTTTTTTTGAAATTTTTTATATATATTATTATAAATTTTATTATTAAGATTCATACATATTAAAATATTTATATCTGTTAGAATAAATTTTTGTTGAAATAAATAAAAATATATGATAAAATATATAATAAAATTTTTTTAATAATTTTGTTAATTTTAGAATAAACCTTATAAATTAATAAAAAAATGTAAGAAAAAAAAATTTTTATCCGATGATGAAATTTAAAGGTACTCCGAATAGTGATACATACGAAATCTCTAGGTGAGAAATTTTTTTTTAAATACTATCAGTGTATTGAAGTATTTATAAGAATTTTTGATATATTAAAAATTTTCTTTTTCATAAAAACTAGTAAAATAAAATTAACTAATTTATAAAAAAAACTAAAATAAAGTGATAAAAAAATGAGAAAAATGAATTTTATCTAATGATGAGATTCTAAAAGTATTCTAAGTAGCGATGCTTTACGAAATCCTTAGGTGAGAAGATTTTTTTTTAAATATTACCAGTGTATTAGAATATTTATAGAAAAACTTCAATATAATAAAAAAAATTTCTTCAATTTTAAATTAAAAATAAAAAAATCAAATAAAACAATTAATAAAATTTTTAAAAAAGGAGAATAAAATGTGTGCATCAACATGGTAACATTTTGCATTGCATGCATAACATAATTTTTTACGAAAAGTAAATTTGAGCCTCCAATGATAGGATTCCAAAGTATTCCGATAAGCAATGCCTAAGAAATCTCTAGGTGAAAAAATGTTTTTCCAATGTTACCAACGTACTGAAACATTTTAAAAATTATTTCGATAAAAGGATTTTAATTTATTTTTCTTGAATAAAATTTGAGCATTAAAAAAATTTCCAACAAATGAAAAAAAATCAAAAAAATTATCTTTCAAACACCGAAAATAAGACTGTTTATATTAAAATCAATGGATAACACATAGTTAATTGGTACCGTTTTAAATTAACGTTGTAGGGGTGCTAATTCTTTCCCACACATAATCGACTCCCGAATCCAGACTGTTATGCAGATCCTAAAATTATCCTCTTAATAAATTTTAATTAATTTTAAGATTTTATTAAAAAGACATGTTTTAATAGATGACCAATCGTACCTAATCGAAAAAAGTTTGGTGACGATTCCGTTATTTTTTATTTTTTTTAAATTCGTCGAGCGGACACAAAACCGTTACAACAACTATAATGTCATGATCCTTCCAAATTTGTAAGAAGACATCAATAACAATATCTTCATGCTCGGATCTTGGTCATTTTGGGTCTATATATGTAAATCGAGTTCTTGGTAAAATGCATCAAACTCTTTGAAATTTATATATGCTTTTTAGTTAAAAAAAAAAATAATGTTGTTGAAACACCCCAAACTGAGCAAGCAGCAAACTAAGTTACATTAGATTGATTAAACATAATCATCTTAGCCACTGTATTTACATGTTTCAACAACAATTGTTTTCATTTTGTTGCCCTTTTGCCCCCCCCCAACTTGTGATCACATGGTGAAACGACTACTCCTGAAGCAACACTTAATTTGTTTTCTTTCGGATGATTGGTGAAGAGGAGTGAGAAATTTTTTTTTTAATGTCAGCTTGGACCCTTCTGATGACAGGAAAATCTCATTAATTTTCTTTTATATAATTGATATACGCGTACACTCGGTTGATACAGCACTCAACAGACCGGTTGACACACGTACACTCGGTCGAAACACTCGTATTGAGCAAGCGGCAAACTAAGTTACATTAGATTGATTAAACATTAATCATCTTAGCCACAAGGCAAAGATCATTTTTTATGTGTACAGCAAGACCAGGTATCACATTAAAGTCTAAGTCTTCATTGTTCATCCCAGTTAACGAGTGATTATTATTCAAGGTTTTGCTGTGCAATAAACTATATGGAAAGAACGAGAAAAACAAAAGCAAAAATGTTGTTATGCGCCTGCTGGCTACGGCTTGGCTGCTTTGCGTTTACTTACTAATACCTATCTTACACGAATCCATCAAAATCTTTGATTGGGAAATCTTTGTACCCACTTTCTTCTAAGACAAGAGTTTAATCTCCCATAATAATGGGTAACCTTCCTGATAAAAGACAAACATTAAACATTAGGATAGAAACTTTCATGGAGTTTTTTAAATGAAATTTATAAAGTTTTTTTAAATAATTTAATAAAAATTTAAATCGATAAATTAATAAAATTTAATATAAAAATTAATAATATATAAAATATTATTAAAAATATTATTTATAATTAAATATGATTTATACTTATTCAATAATAAAAATATCATCGATATTTTTATTACAAATATTTATCTAAAAACATATATATCAAAATTTATTAAATTTTTTTTAAATTTTAAACACTTAATCTATGTAATGATATTTTTTAAAATTTTCAAATTATCTTAGCCACTAGGCAAAGATCATTTTTTCTGTGTACAGTAATACCAGGTAACACATCAAAGTCTAAGTCTTCCTTGCTCATCCCAGTTGGCATGTCCCAATCAAATTTGTAAACAAGATTGGCAAGGGCAAGCTCCACAGTTGCAACTCCCAAATGAATTCCGGGACAACCTCTTCTACCGGCACCAAATGGTATGAGCTCAAAGTCTAGTCCTTTGTAGTCAATAGAACTGCCAATGAATCTCTCTGGACAAAACTCTTCTGGGTTTTCCCAAGCTTCAGGGTCTCTTCCTACTGCCCAGGCATTCACATAGACTAAGGTTTTGGCAGGTATTTCGTACCCGCCTATGTTGCATTTTCGCATTGTTTCTCGTGGCAAAAGTAATGGAGCTACTGGTTGCAATCTGAATGTTTCTTTTATCACAGCTTTAAGATAAATTAAATCTTGAACATCATCTTCATTTACAAAACCCTTTTTTCCAACCAAATCTCTAACTTCCTCTTGAATTTTCTTCATACACCTTGGATTTTTCATCAGGAAGGTCATGACCCAAATCACGGTGGCAGCACTTGTGTCTGTTCCAGCAATAAAAACATCCTGCATAAAAAGGATAAAGAATTCATGAGGTCATATATTCCTACGAGTTGAAGTTAGAAAATTAATGATACAATACTTAAATATAATTAAATTTTTGAGTGAATAATATGACCGTTAGCACAGCTTTTATGTTATCCATATTGAGATCAATTGTAAAGTTACGATCCTTCCAGATTTGTAGTAAGACATCTACAATGTCCTCTTGCTCGGGTTTTGGCCTATTTGGATCAAGATGTTCATCAATGAGTTCTTGATAAAAGATATCAAGTTCTTTGAATTTCTTTTCAAGACGACCGAGCAATCCAGATAATCTATCAACCCAACCCATGGAAGGAAAATAGTCAGAAATATAGAAACTCGCCAACACGGTCTGACTTTCATTAAGCAGACTATGAAATCTGCTTCTTTCAGTTACTTCTTCTTCATACCTCTTTCCAAACCCTATTCTACAAATCATTGTGCTGGTAAGACACATCATTAACTCACTCAAGTTGACAGGTTTAGAATGAACAGATAATTTGGATATTTTTTCAATCAGTCGAGCAACTTCATCTTCTCGGATGGGACAATAAAGTTGCACTCTGTTAGGGTTAAAGAGATGAACGACGCATATTTTCCTGATCTCTCTCCAATAAGCATTATATGGTGAAAACGCCAAATCCGAGCCATCGTAAGATAATATCTGAGGGGCACGTAAAGTAGGCCTGCTGCAGAAATCAAGGTCATGGGTTTTCATAACCTCTTTAGCCATTTTGGCTGAAGAAACTACAAGGGTTGACCTAAATCCAAGTCGCAAGGACATGAGAGAACCATACTTTTGAGAGAGTTTCCAAAGAAAAACATGAGGAGCTGAGTTATCAAGCATCTGCATGTGTAAGTGACCAATCAAGGGAAGACCTGGGGGGCTAGGGGGAAGAAGAATATTACCATTGTTTCTATGTTTTAGGAGAATGAATAGGAAGAAGGGGATGGCTAGAAGAAAGAACAGCAACATTACTACCAATGTAAATTCGTAACCTAGCACTCGATCTATGGTGAAAATTGAGAGGAATATTCCCCTTATATAGACTAATTAGCTAGCATTTGAGCCTTAAAATTTTGAAAACCAATTCGTATATGACATCTCATAGCCCTCAATGCCGCCAATATTCTATATAATATTTGGATCTTTTTTAGTTTAAAAATAAATTTTGATAGCTTTAAATTATTGTTTTGATATTATTATTTTTATTTTTAATCTCCTTCTAATTTAATTTATCATTGACTTAATATTTGAACTCCAATATCATGATTTTGGTTTCGTCCCCGGACGAGGGATAACAAAACAAATTATTAAAAAAAAACCCAAAAGTTAACTACTTTTAACTAATCAAGTGGGCCAACGAAAGCACATGAAAAGTTGGTCATGTGTCAGTAAGTGTTGAGAGAGAAAAGGACGATTTATAAATCGAAAGGCCAAAAGCCAGCATGTCTCGACTAAGAAAAGGCTCAGTGTAAGAAGAGGTTGGTCCTTGGTGGCTAAGGCTAGGAGCAACCACCAATGAAAGGAAGACCTGGTTCTCATACTCACTTTACAGAACGTGTATAAAAATAAAATAAAATAAAAAAGCAATTTTTGAAGCTTCATCTCAAAAAATTTGCAAGTAGGAATGGAAGAGAAGTGTTTGAAGATATAAAATTTTGTTGTTAATGTTAATAAAAAATAAAAAATAAAGCTTTCAACGGAGGTTTGCAGGAAGTCGAGCCAGAAGATTCGTGTTCATTCCAAATCTCAAAGGCCTTGACCTTAAACCAATCCATCAACCATGAAAATAAAGGCTTCAACTTTATCCCACTAGCTCATGTCCCAATAGGCCAATACTGAATACCTAATTCTAGGATTGAGATTTTATATTATTCTACAATTCAGGGTTTATCCCTAATTTAGCAACCAAAAAAAAAAAAGAAAAAAAGCATAAAATAATATTAACAAAAATTGGAAAATGGTTTTTTTAGATACCATTAATGAACAATTCTATCCACTTTGTAGTGAAATTTGCAGTAAGAAAAGTTTGGAAAAAGATTAAACGTATGAGATTATAAATAATTAGTTGCACAAATCGCATTTGAATTTTGAACAAATCTAAAATAACATTAGATAATTGTGGTATTTGAGGTTATTAAACCCTGATTTGCTGTTGGTATTAATTAATTGTCTTCACTTTTAAAACTTCTACATAGAGTCCATATATTGCATCCAAAAAGGAATGATTAATTAATTAGCTATCTCCAATAAAAAATTAAACCAAATTAAAAAAAAAACTCAAATATTTGAAAAATACAAAGAAAACGTCGCACATAGTATTAGTTAAGGAATATCCTCTTTGATTATTATTCAAGGTTTTGCCGTGCAATAAACTATTTGGAAAGAATAAGAAAAACAAAAACAAAATTGTTGTTTTGTGCCGGCTCGCTACGGATTGGCTGCAGTGAGTTTCTTACTAACGCCTATCTTACACGAATCCATAAAAATCTTTGTATTCAAAATGATGTTTGACATCTATGATGAAGACCCCTTTTTTTTTTTTTGTCTTTCTTTTAGCTTTCCTTGCTGGATGTAATATTTTCTGTTTTAATTTTCATGGTTTCTTCTAATCTGTTGTTTTCTGTAAAATTCCAATAAAAAACTGAAAAAGAAAGAGACAAATTCAGCAGATTATATTTGATCCTTTGTTGAAGATTCATTATAAACTTGAATGAAGCTTCCAGTCAATAAATGACATGTGCTGATGTTCATTTATTGAATTAAAATTCGAGAATTAGTTGAATTGATTTAATCATCCGGTCAGATTATAATGGATTACTTCAAAGAGTCAAATTAAAATAAAAAAATTTTAAATTAATGATAATAATCAAGGAAGATTAATTATATTATATATTACTTGAAATGACAACTTTTCAAAAATAGTAAAAGATGCATTATTCATACTCACGTATGGATTTATACCGCGTAAAACATACACAACAACAAAATAAAATGTTGTTGAAACAGTCCAAACTTGAGCAACCTGCAAATTACGGTAGTGTATCATTGGACAAAATTAACATAAAATTATATAGGTAAAGTTGGTATAATTTTTTATTAAAAATTATTAAATAAAAATTTTAATAAAAAATTACATTTGATATATTAATAAAATTTAATATGAAAATTAATAATATATAAAAAATGTATTAAAAATATTATTTATAATTTAAATTTAATTGATATTTAATTAACGATAAAAATTTTATCAATATTTTTATTAAAAATATATATTTAATAACTATATCAAAAAAAATTTTAATTTTTTTAAATTTTACATACTTGATTTATATGTAATGAAATTTTTTAATTTATTGATTTTAATTTTTAATTTTAATTTTAATTTATTCATTTTACATAAATAAATTTTACGAATTTCACCTATAAAATTTATATAAGTCTTTTCTCTGTATTATTACATTTAAATGGTTTCGAAGCTTATACGACTCTCCCATTTTCTTCTGAGACAAGAGTTTAATCTCCCGCAATTATGGGTAACCTCCCCGGTAAAAAACAAACATTAAACATTAATTGTCTTAGCCACAAGGGAAAGACCTTTTTTCTTCTTTTTTTTTGTGTACGGTAACACCAGCTATCACATCAAAGTCTAGGTCTTCCTCGTTCATCCCAGTTGGCATTTGCCAATCAAATTTGTAAACAAGGTTAGCAAGGGCAAGTTCCAGAGTTGCAACTCCATATGTATTCCAGGACAACTTCTTCCACCGGCACCAAATGGTATGAGCTCAAAGTCTAGTCCTTTGTAGTCAATAGAACTGCCAATGAATCTCTCTGGATAAAACTCTTCTTGGTTTTCCCAAGCTTCAGGGTCTCTTCCTACAGCCCACGTATTCACATAGACAAAGGTTTTGGCAGGTATTTCGTACCCGCCTATGTTGCCCTTTCGCATTATTTCTCGAGGCATTTGTAATGGAGCTACTGGTTGCAATCTGAATGTTTCTTTTATCACAGCTTTAAGATAAATTAAATCTTGAACATCATCTTCATTTACAAAACCCTTTTTTCCAACCAAATCTCTAGCTTCCTCTTGAATTTTCTTCATACACCTTGGATTTTTCATCAGGAAGGTCATGACCCAAATCACGGTGGCAGCACTTGTGTCTGTTCCAGCAATAAAAACATCCTGCATAAAAAGGATAAAGAATTCATGAGGTCATATATTCCTACGAGTTGAAGTTAGAAAATTAATGATACAATACTTAAATATAATTACATTTTTGGGTGAATAATATGACCGTTAGCACAGCTTTTATGTTATCCATATTGAGATCAATTGTAAAGTTACGATCCTTCCAGATTTGTAGTAAGACATCTACAATGTCCTCTTGCTCAGGTTTTGGCCTATTTGGATCAAGATGCTCATCAATGAGCTCTTGATAGACGATATCAGATTCTTTGAAATTCTTTTCAAGACGACCGAGCAATCCAGATAATCTATCAACCCAACCCATGGAAGGGAAACAATCAGAAATATAGAAGGTCGCGGACAGCGGTTGGCTTTCATTAAGAAGCCCATGAAATCTGCTTCTTTCATTTGCTTTTTCTTCATACCTCTATCCAAATCCTACTCTACAAATTATTGTACTGGTAAGACACATCATTGCCTCACTCAAGTTGACAGGTTTAGAATGAACAGATAATTTGGATTTTTTTCAATCAGTCGAGCAACTTCATCTTCTCGGATGGGACGATAGAGTTGCACCCTGTTCGAGTTGAAGAGATGAAGAACACATAGTTTCCTGATCTCCCTCCAATAAGCTTTATATGGTGAAAAAAACAAGTCCGAGCCATCTTAAGATCATTTCTGAGCGCAACGTAAAGTAGGCCTGCTGCAGAAATCAAGCTCATGGGTTTTCATAACCTCTTTAGCCATTTTGGCTGAAGAAACTACAACGGTTGACTTAAATTCAAATCGCAAGGACATGAGAGAGCCATAGTTTTGAGAGAGTTTCCAAAGAAAAATATTAGGGGTTGAGTTATCAAGCATCTGCATGTGTTAGTGACCAATCAAGGGAAGACCTGGGGGGCTAGAGGAAAGAAGAATATTGCCATTGTTTCTACGTTTTAGAAGAATGAATAGGAAGAAGGGGAGGGCAAGAAGAAAGAACAGCAAAATTACTATAATAGCAAATTCGTAATCTATACTCTTATCTATGTGAAAATTGAGAGGATCAAGATTCCTCTTATGTAGGCTAATTAGCATACTTGCTCTAGGGCCGAGCTAACTGTCCGAATCCGAAAATTCGTTCAAAATTATAAAAGATTTAGATATAAATATTAAGTCCGTTAGAAACGGATTGGAGAAATAAATGAGACCTTAAAAAAGAAAAAATCGTGCTTGGGTTTCATCATTTAAGGATCAAGTTAGATTCCAACCCAGTTCAAAAATTAAAAAAGTATTTTTATTATAATGGGATAAGATTCATTTGTTTTATTTTTAATAATGGATAAGATCCATTTATTTTATTACTTATAATGGGATAAAATTTATTTTTTTCTTTATACAAAGTATTAAAATAATGATCAAATTTTAAATTATATTTAACAAAATTAAATTGGATCTAAACCCAAATGATTTATAAATTCAATTTAAATTAATTAAATTAATAATTTACAAAAAAATGAAAAAATAATTATTTTTCTCAATCTTAAAAATTAATGTTTTAGGCGAATTTAAACTTTATTATTATATATAAGAACATATTTGAATAAAAAATAAGATTCAAAAAATCAAATTGAACCGGATCTAACTTTGTTTAAAATATTAGAATATTATGTTAAACTTTACCCAAACCCAACCTAGCCCGTCCCATAAACAGCACTACTAATTAATTGTCATTTGAGAAATTCCAAAATTTGGTCGGGCCATTATCATGTTACTTGCCAGTCATTATTATTATTAATTGCTAGCATATAGCCGTATTTTATATTGCCAAATACTGTTTTTTTTTCTTGAATGGATGCTACCAAATTCATTTAACAATGACTCAATGATCAAATAGACTTCATTGTATTTAAGTTGATGACGCATCACTATTTGAAATAATGCACAACATTTCACATCCAAGGAAGGTGGAAAGGTTAGGGTTTCTTTTTCATTATTCAAAATCAGACCATCATTATAATTTTCTCAAATTCAGAATTTAACTCATTTGTTTATACAATTATTTTTAAAAATTAACATCAAATAAATTTAAAATTCAAATCTTAATATTTATAATAATTTCTTTATCTAAACTATAACTTCGTTGTATTAAAAAAATTTCTTCACTCTTCCGAAGTAATGAGCCAAGGTATTCTTTCACTAATTACTACAAATATAGTCATATTAGCGCAAAGCCAAACATTAGATAAAAGAGAGAGTCAAACAGTGAAGTTATTGGAAAAAAGATGACCGAAACTGGTGTTAAGTAGGCTGAATTACTATACTGTACAAAAAATTTTTAAGGGGACCATGGCTCATGCCTATCCCTTTGGATTCGCCTGTGAGCCATATGCCATCATTAATAACTAATTAATTAATTAATTAATTAATTAACGTGACAATAATATCCAAAATAATAGGTAGTTAATTAACAAGTTTCTTATTGGTTAGTTAGCCTCTGATAAAATTAAAATATTAATTATGGCAACCAAAAGTGACCAGGCTTGGCAATTTTCAAGTGCACATGGACGATGTGCCTCCAAGTTAGATTTTCTTCAAAGATTAAACGCATTTCTGTGTCAGCAAAATTGATGATCCGTTCATGTATTCTTTTTTTTTTCATTTCTGTTTCTTCGTAACATTTTTAAACATAAAAAAAATATTATTAGCAAACCATTCAACTACAGCTGCGACCTAGATGAACTAGTGCTTCCAATCCAAGTCCAGAATTATTCAACTGATACGCCTTGAAAAAATATAAACAATTACGTTCCTACTATATATATACTATATATATATATATATATGTATCCACCATAATATCTGTCTGAAAAATTACTTTATTCCATTTGATTTTACTTTTTTAATGGACGTCCCAACTCAATTTTGCTTCTAAAGTCAAAGCATAAAAAAGTTATGAGGAAGCATCAGTACGAGTACAGAGAAAGCCATTTTTGAAGCTTCATCTCAAAAGGATGCAATGCAAGTAGGAAAGTAAGTCGGGGCTGAAGATTTGCGCTCTCATTCCAAATGTCAAAGTCCATTATCATAAACCAGTTCCAAATCAGTCCATCAACAATAACTATTTACGCGTCGATTTCATGTATATATGCTTTCTGTAAAATTCCAATAAAAGAAACTGAAAAAGAAATAGATAAATTTAGCAGATGAACAAGGGTATAAAAAATTGAAAAAATTTAAAATAAATTTAAAACTATAATATTAGGTTTCGTTTGAATTTTTAGATTTAAATTAAGTTTAAATATTAAATATATATATTAGATTATGATGAAATTTTGAATCAAAAAATTAAAAACAAAAAAAATATCAAACCGAATTGAATTTTTTATTTTTATTAATTTTTATATTTTTTGTAAATTTTTATAAAATAAAATAATTATTTTATACTTAAATATATTTAAAAATATTAAAATTTATATTAAAATAATATATTAAAAATAAAATTTTAAATTTAATAAATCGATAAATAAAATCGAATTGATAAAATTTCATTCGAATCAAATCAAATTATGTAAAAATTTAATTTTAATTTTAATTAAATTTTATAATTTATAATTTATATTATTCAAAAAATTTAATTTAATTAAATTTAATCCCATCCAAATTATAAACACATCTATAAATCATATGTCCTTTTTTTTTAAAACATTAATTATAACCCTGAATGGAGCTTCAAGCCAATTAGTGACATGTACTAATGCTCCTTTATTAAATTAAAATTCGAAAATTAATTGATTTGATTTGATTGTACAACTAGGTAATATTGAATTTATCCAGAAAGTCAAATTGGAATAAAATAATTTAAACCAAGAATACTGACCAGGGATCATTAATTACATTATCTCCCTTGAAATGATAACTTTACAAAAATGATAAAAGATATATATATATATATATATATATATATATATACATATTGACCTATTGTGTAGAACATTTACGATAAAAAAATAAAAAAGTTGTTGAGCAAGCTGCAAATTAAGCGATACGACATTACATTCAGTGGCGGTGCCACATAGGGGAAGGGGCATGGCCCCAAGAATTTTAAAAGTTCTTTAGCTATATAATGTTATCAATTAATTTTTTAAATATATATTCTAAATTAAATAATAGCCTCCTCGAGATAATATAATTATTTTAATTTTTATTTATAAATTTCTAACTTATTGATTTTTAAAAAAATTTTAAGAGTATTATTTATTTTACAAGTTTAATAAAAATTTAAACTGTCCTTACTAAAACAAAAAATTTAGTACAATTCAATATATTTATAAAATATGAAAAAAATATTTATAAAATAATTTATTTATTGTAGTGTTATTAGTTAAATAGTTTAAACACTTTAATACTAAATAAACAACAAGGTATATAAATTTTTAAGTAAAATTTATAAAGTTTACAAATAAAAATAATTTATATATCATGAGAACTACGATTGAAAATCAAACTAAAAATAAAATTTATTTAAGAGTTTTTTTAATGTACTTTTTACATGTAAGTTTTGAAAATTTTAACAAATTACATATTTTTATTTTAAATACAAATATTTGAGTTTCCTTTTTTTTTATTTCAATATTTAAATTTTTATGTATGTTGTTTGTGATTACAACATAAAATATTATATTTCACATATATTTTCAAAATTTTTTATAAAATAATATTATATTATAAAAAAATTACAAATTTTAAATTACAAATTTTATTTTTATATGACCCCTTCAACTTGAAATTCTCGATCCGCTGCTTACATTGATTTGATTGCGAAACTTATCCAAAGGGTTCACTCATTTTCCGTCGAATCAAAAGCTTGATGTCCAGCACTTGGAAAAAGAAAAACAAACAAACATACATTGCGTCGACTAAACACTAAACCTCCTTGCCGCAAGGCAAAGGTCATTTTTTTTGTGTACAGCAACACCAGGTATCACATCAAAGTCTAAGTCGTCATTGTGCATCCCAGTTGGCATTTCCCAATCAAATTTGTAAAGAAGATTAGCAAGGACAAGCTCCACAGTTGCAACTCCCATATGTATTCCAGGACAACCCCTTCGACCGGCACCAAATGGTATGAGCTCAAAGTCTAGTCCTTTGTAGTCAATAGAACTGCCAATGAATCTCTCTGGACAAAACTCTTCTGGGTTTTCCCAAGCTTCAGGGTCTCTTCCTACTGCCCATGCATTCACATAGACTAAGGTTTTGGCTGGTATTTTGTACCCGCCTATGTTACACTTTCGCATTGTTTCTCGTGGCACTAATAATGGAAGTATTGGATGCAATCGGAATGTTTCTTTTATCACAGCTTTAAGATAAGTTAAATCTTGAACATCATCTTCGTTTACAAAACCCTTTTTTCCAACCAAATTTCTAACTTCCTCTTGAATTTTCTTCATACACCTCGGATTTTTCATCAGGAAGGTCATGACCCAAATCACGGTGCCAGCGCTTGTTTCTGTTCCAGCAATAAACACGTTCTGCACAAAAATGCAAAAAGAAGACATGAGATTATCTATTTCTATGGTTGAAGCAAGAAAACTAATGATAAAAATTAAATTTTTTAGTGAAGATGACCATTAGCACAGCTTTTATGTGATCCATAGTGAGATCAATTGTAAAGTCGCGATCCTTCCAGATTTGTAGTAAGACATCAGCAATGTCTTCTTGCTCGGGTTTTGGCCTATTTGGATCAAGATGTTCATCAATGAGTTCTTGGTAAAAGATATCAAATTCTTTGAAGTTCTTTTCAAGACGACCGAGCAATCCAGATAATCTATCAACCCAACCCATGGAAGGAAAAAAGTCAGAAATACAGAAGCTCGCGAACAGGGCTTGACCTTCATTAAGCAGCCCATGAAATCTGCTTCTTTCAGTTCCTTCTTCTTCATACCTCTTTCCAAACCCTACTCTGCAAATTATTGTACTGCTAAGACACATCATTGCCTCACTCAAGTTGACAGGTTTAGAATCAAAAGATAATTTGGATATTTTTTCAATCAGGCGAGCAACCTCATCTTCTCGGATGGGACGATAGAGTTGAACCCTGTTAGAGTTAAAGAGATGAACAACACATATTTTCCTGATCTCCCTCCAATAAGCATTATATGGTGAAAAAACCAAATCCGAGCCATTGTAAGATAATATCTGAGGGCAACGTAAAGTAGGCCTACTGCAGAAATCAAGGTCATGGGTCTTCATAACCTCTTTAACCATTTTGGCTGAAGAAACTACAAGGATTGACCTAAATCCATAGCGCAAGGTCATGAGAGAGCCATACTTTTGAGAGAGTTTCCAAAGAAAAATATGAGGGGCTGAGTTATCAAGCATCTGCATGTGTAAGTGACCAATCAAGGGAAGACCTGGGGGGCTAGGGGGAAGAAGAATATTGCCATTTTTACTATGTTTTAGGAGAATGAATAGTAAGAAAGGGAGGGCCAGAAGAAAGAACAGCAAAATTACTACCATTGTGAATTCGCAATCTAGTACTCTTATCTATTGTGAAAATTGAGAGGATCAAGAGTCCTCTTATGTAGGCTAATTAGCCGTCATCTGAGACTTAAAAATATTAATAATCGATTCGTGGATGACATCACATAGCGTTGAATGCCCGCAACTAATATATATATATAAATGTTTGGAATTTTTTTCTTTTTGATGAAAAAATTGCTTTTCTTTCATGCTTTTGAGGGCCAGGGGAAGGAAATGATATTGATGTACGCATAAATTAATCCAGCCTTAGAGAAAATTGTAAAGGAGTAACTTCTCGCGAAGCAAATCTTTCTTTGTGAGGTATTGTTGTGAGAAGGATATGTTTATGGAGGGTTTTCGCCTTAATGGCTCTTTTTTCGTCGGGACATTATCCATGTTATTTGCCAGTGATTATTATTAATAATTGCTAGTATATAGTCGTATTTTATACTGCCAGATACTTTTTTTTTTTTTGAATGGAAGCTTCCAAATACATTTAACAATGACTCAATGGTCAAATTGAATTCATTGTATTTAAATAATGCACATACGTCACATCTAAGGAAGGTGGAAAGGTTAAGGTTTATCATAGATTTTTTTAAAATCTAGAATTTAACTCATGTATGCATGTAAATATTTTTAAAAAAATATTATTTAAAAAATTTATAATTTAAAATTTAACATTTACAATCATTTTTGTATATAAATTATAACATCTTCTGTATTAAAAAAATAATTTCGTCACTTTTCCAAAGCAATAAGAGAACGTATTCTTTCATCGATAACTACTTATATAATTATATCAAGATGAAGCCATACATAAGAGAAAGAGGGAGTCAAATAGTGAAATTATTGAAAAAGAGAGGATAGATACTGATATTAGATAGACTAAGTTACTATATTATGAAAAATAATTTTGAAAAAATTATAATCATATCTATTTTTAGATTCAGTTTCAAATCATATATCATCATGATTAATTAATTAATTAAAGTGATTAATTTTTAAAATAATATGTAATTAATTAATAATTTTCTTGTTGGTTAGTTAGCCTCTGATAAAATTAAAATATTAATTATGGCCACCATAAGTGACCAGAATTGGCAATTTTCAAGTGCACATAGACGATGTGCCTCCAAATTAATTATGCTACAAAAGATTAAACGATGCTCCGTACGTGGCAGGCTGGCAGCAACCACCTGATTTGGGATTGTTCACGTTTTTGTCTGTCGTATAAAGAAGCTTTTCTCCATATGGGCAATGATCCAAATATATCCTTCATTCCACTTGGTTTCGTTGTTCGCTCGCTCAGGAAGTGAACCTTGATCCAGAGGGAGCTGCGTGTTCTTTGGATTCGGTGACGTTGCCCCCATCTCATTCTATGGTTCATATTCTTAACGATGGTCCGTCTGCAGTCTAATCTTTTCTGTTTTCATATTCTGTTTGCTGTGCTAAAGCTTTTTGAGGGACATAACTAAAATATTATAGCAACCATATATGGCTAGGCAGCTACGAGCTTCGATGAACTAATGTTTCCAATCCAAGTCCAGGATTCCTCAACTGATACGCCCGCTATGACTGAGAAAAATTTATCGGTCATGATTAAATCTCTACTATATATATATATCCATTATATTTTCTGTCTGAACAATTTTTTTGTTCCATTTGATTTTGATTTTTAAGCATCAGTACGGGTATAGAGAAAGCCAATTTTGAAGCTTCGTCTCAAAAGGATGCAATGCAAGTAGGAAAGCAAGTCGGGCTGAAGTTCTGTGCTCATTCCAAATGTCAAAGCCCATTATCATAAACCAGAACCAGACCAGTCCATCAACCATTAATAAAAAGGCTTTAACTTTAGCCCACTACATGTCCCAATAGGCCGATACCCTATTTGTAGATTGAGATTTATATTATTCTACAAGGCCCAAATTTTACTTTGAGAAAATTCAGGTTTTATCCCCAATTTATCACCAAAAGAAAACGAAAAAAAAAAGTGCATAAAATTATAGTGACAAAAAGTAGGAAATAGTTTTTTTTTGGACACCATTATTGAATAATTCTATCCAATTTTTTTTTTTTTAAATTCTAATCAACTCTGTTAGTGGAACACAATTAGTCTCTTAATTCATAAAAAGGTTTAAAATTTTTTTGCTATTAAATTTTATTTAGATAAAAATGAATTACTATAATTTTCTGATATTATGTAAAATCATATTGCATCAAACACCTTAATTAGGCTTCCTTTAAAAAAAAAAAACACTAATATTAGGCCTCGTTCTAATGTATCATGGATACACTCTAGAGCAACCCCGCCCAAACATTGAATTACTTGTAATTATTTACTTTATATACTGCAAAACTAAATAATTATAAATTAGTTAGTTATTATGTTTCATTTACTACTATATATTAATTTTTAGTCCTTTGGTCACTAACGTTTTGACGTTCTAATACGCTAATGACGAATATTTCCAACATGTTTGCATTCCAGTAATAATAATAAAAAAAAAATTAAAAAAATAAGTTTATATTCAATACATTATTAATATATAAATTTATAGTGTTAATAAATCGGATGAAATTATCTCATTAATGAATAAATTTTTATACATTTATTTTGAAAGCTAATATTTATTTATTAATAAAATATTATCATTCGATTTAATAACAGTATATAAAATTTATACATTAATAATATACCAAATATATATAAACTCAAAAAGAATATTATCTCGTTATATAAGATTTAGACTCTAGAGTGTAAGAAGGCATTGCAACTTCAAGTAAGAAAAGTTTGGAAAAACATTAAACTTGTTAAAATTTTGCAATCCCCTAACACATTTTTATGAGAATATAAATAATTAATAACAGTAGATAATTGCTTTTTATATATATTTAAAATTATTAAAGATTGAAATTGTTTTTAACTTTAAAACTTTTTACATATGGTCTATATATTGCATCCAAAAAAAGATTAATTAGATATCTCCAAAAAAAATCAAACATAAATATAGAAAAATACAAGGATAACGTGGCGTGGAGTATCTCTTTAATTATTAATCAAGCTTTTGCTTTGCAATAAATTATTAGGAAGGGAACTTTAATAAGCACTCAACAAAGAGAAGATTTCATCCTTAATTTTTTGTTTAATGATTAAAGATTTTTTTAAGAAGACATAAAAGTATTGGATTCTAATTAATTTTTTTTATAGGCTTTGTTTAATTTATATATAAAAAAATAAAAACAAGTTCTTCAAAGAAGGAATTATTTTAATTATTGACATTGTTACGAGAACTCCATTTTATATTATTTTTAATGCATGCAGCAGTGATGCTAATAGAAATCTTTGTGAAGAATGAGATATAAGCCACCATAACTAAATTTGTATAAGCTATTAATGTATTTCATTCAATTTTTTTTATTTAAATACAAATTTTATTTATAAAAGAAAAAGAAAATTGTTGTTTTGTGCCTGGCTACGGATTGGCTGCAGACTGCAGTGAGTGTATTTATTAACACCTATCTTACACGAATCCATCAAAATTTTTGTATTGAAAATGATGTATGTTTTTGACGAGACATGGTTTTTTTTTTTTTCTTCTTCTTCTTTTAGCTTCCTTGCTGGATGCAATTTTTTTCTGTTTTAATTTTCATGGTTTCTTCTATCCTGTTGCTTCGATTTACGCTTACATATGTTTTCTGTAAATTTTAGCAGATCATATCTGTCCCTTTTTTTAAAAAACATTAATTATAAGCTTGAATGGAGCTTCAAGCCAATTAGTGACATGTACTGATGTCCATTTATTGAATTAAAAATTTGAGAATTAACTGAATTGATTTCTCAACTAGAATTTATTGGATTTCTTCAGAAAGTCAAATTGAAATAAAATAATTTAAATCAAGAATATTGATCTGGGATCATTAATTAGATTATGTCCCTTGAAATGACTACTTTACAAAAATGATGAAGAATACATTATTCATACATACATACATATGGACCTACTGTGTATAACATACACAATAATAAAATAGAAAGTTATTGAAACAGTCCAAACTTGAGCAAGCTGCAAATTGAGTTATGCGACATTACATTGATTTGATTACGAGGCTTATCCAAAGGGTTCACTCATTTTCTGTCAAATCAAAAGTTTGATGTCCAGCACTATGAAAAAAAAAAAACAAACATTACATTGACTAAACATTAATCTTCCTAGCCGCAAGGCAAAGATCATTTTTTTTGTGTACAGCAACACCAGGTATCACATCAAAGTCTAAGTCTTCATTCTGCATCCCAGTTGGTATTTCCCAATCAAATTTGTAAAGAAGATTAGCAAGGACATGCTCCACAGTTGCAACTCCCTTATGTATTCCAGGACAACCCCTTCGACCGGCACCAAATGGTATGAGTTCAAAGTCTAGTCCTTTGTAGTCAATAGAACTGCCAATGAATCTCTCTGGACAAAAGTCTTCCGGGTTTTCCCAAGCTTCAGGGTCTCTTCCGACTGCCCATGCATTCACATAGACCAAGGTTTTGGCTGGTATTTCGTACCCGCCTATTTTGCACTTTCGCATTGTTTCTCGTGGCACTAATAGTGGAACTACTGGTTGCAATCTGAATGTTTCTTTTATCACAGCTTTAAGTTAAGTTAAATCTTGAACATCATCTTCGTTTACAAAACCCTTTTTTCCAACCAAATCTCTAACCTCCTCTTGAATTTTCTTCATACACCTTGGATTTTTCATCAGGAAGGTCATGACCAAAATCACGGTGCTAGCGCTTGTTTCTGTTCCAGCAATAAACGCATTCTGCATAAAAAGGGAAAAAGAAGACATGAGATTATCATTCCTATGGTGTGAAGCAAGAAAATTAATGATAAAAATTAAATTTTTTTAGTGAAGATGACCATTAGCACAGCTTTTATGTGATCCATAGTGAGATCAATTGTAAAGTCGCGATCCTTCCAGATTTGTAGTAAGACATCAACAATGTCTTCTTGCTCAGGTTTTGTCCTATTTGGATCAAGATGTTCATCAAAGAGTTCCTGATAAAAGATATCAAATTCTTTGAAGTTCTTTTTAAGACGACCGAGCAATCCAGATAATCTATCAGCCCAACCCATGGAAGGAAAAAAGTCAGAAATACAAAGGTCGCGACCAGGTCTTGGCTTGACTTTCCTTAAGCAGCCCATGAAATCTGCTTCTTTCAGTTCCTTCATCTTCATACCCCGTTCCCAACCCAACTCAAAAAATTATTGTACTACTAAGAGACATCATTGCATCATTCAAGTTGACAGGTTTAGAAGCAACAGATAATTTGAATATTTTTTTAATCAGGCGAGCAATATCATCTTCTCGGATGGGACGATAGAGTTGAACCCTGTTAGACTTAGAGAGATGAACAACACATATTTTCCTGATCTCCCTCCAATAAGCATTATATGGTGAA